CTCTCTCACTCTGCCAAGATTCATCTTAAACACTTCTCTTTCAATTGCTGCTGTGTCCACAGTGTTTGCTCTCCAGCCATCATTTTACCCTCAAAACGTCGCCATCGTTGTTCTCTTTCCAACACAGTGTCTTTGAAAGCTCAGAGATGTAAACTTTGTGGATCCAAGTGGAGGGATCACAATTTAGTCATTCAGTGATTCAAAGAATATGAACTTTTAATATTCATTCAGATGTTTTCTGACTCTAAATTTTCTTTTCTCATTTCTTAGTTTTTTTAAATTTACATTTAAAACATTTTCAGCTATTTTCCAACTTCTTTTGTGCAAATGTCAGCTTTTAGCAGTTCAGCACTTTTGCTTTCAGGCGAAAATTTCTGTATTTTTCATCTAATTCGAAGTTTTTAACTTAAATTCAGCAATTAATTCATTTCACTGCATAGATTCAGGTATCAGCATTCACACTGCACTTTCTTCAGAAAATGCACTTTCTAGTTTTATTTTCATTTATTCAGTTTGCATGTTTCAGACAGGGGCGTTTTTAGCCCCTTTTGTTTTTAGCCGATTTTGAATCAAAGCCATGTTTTCTTACTTTTTTTTTCAATATTTGCTTTTTTGTGTGACACACTACTAAAAATATATAAAACCCATACAGTACTTAGTTGAGACATAATATTTTACATCTCAACATCCCCCCCCCCAAAAAAAACCCAAAAAAAAAACCCATGGTCTTTTCCAGCTCGCCTCTACTCTGGCTTTAGCACCCTTTCTGCCAGAGCGATGGTGCTGAGACGCAGGGGAGCGCAGGCTTAAAACAGGGCATGTTAGCTGCATTTAACCTTCAGTTACTCTCTATATAGTTAGGTAGGAGTCCGACCATGTTTCATTTTAGCTGTAAAACATTACACACAGGTAACCTGCTGTGTTGAAAACGTGTTTTCCAACTATGTTTTCTACCCTACAATCTGTCCTACTCAGTAGTAAAATCAGCGACATTTGACCGTCCTGTTTCTCCATTGAAATTTATACAGCCTATTTAACGTCTGAAACTTTAAATTGTCTGTAACCTGCTGTTGTTACCACTGTCCTGTTTGAAGTGGAAACAGAGAAGCTGGTTGTTTTGTCATATGTGCATGTGCCAAATTTAAACCCAAGGTAATAACTAGCTAACTGACTGGATGCCCATTAACCTTGTAACTCCTTGTGTGTGTGTGTGTGTGTGTGTGTGTGTGTGTGTGTGTGTTGTGTGTCTGTGTGATGCCATTAACCTTGATAACTCTGTGTGTGTGTGTGTGTGTGTCTGTGTGTGTGTGTATGTGTGTGTGTGTGAGACAGCCAGGTCATAATGGAAAGTTTTTTCAAAAAAAGGAGCCACATTCAGGTAAAAGTGTAAGATCAAATGATCCGTCAATAAAGGATAATGTTGGATCAGTGTTTCAATATTTATATCTTTTATTAGATGTACATGTGGTTTGGTTATTTGCCTTTTGGTTGAAAGTACACTGAGTGAGGACTTTTTTTATTAGTGATATTAATAGTATTTTTTTCATATTAATGTAATTTTTTAATCTAATTGAATACAATCTATTTGTGTATGATTGTCAGTCCAAAGAGGGAGAGAGGAAAGAGGAGAAAGTACAAGGTCAGGAAGAACCAGATAAGAAAACAGACAGGGAATACTAACAGGCAAAACAGAAACTGTTAAACTGACAAAGAAAAAAAAACAAATTTTACTCATAAAATCTGGAATTTGTGTTCTCCCTATATTAAAGCAGACACTATACAGAATCTGCAAAACAAACTGGGTTGTCTAAACTTCATTTAGAGGAAGTCACGGTTGCCAAAAACTTTTTGAAGCTCAAGAGTGAGGCTGGTGCCATTCCAGATATGTTAACATTGTACAATCTTCTGGGTGATCAGATATTCCCCAGACTGAAAACTGTTATTCAGGTTGCCCTAACAATCCCAGTTTGCAGCTGTAGCTGTGAGAGGTGTTTTAGTGTCTTGTGTCAGCTCCATACCTGGCTGAGAAGGACCATGGGTCAAAGCAGACTCCAGCACCTGGCTGTGATGTCAGTTGAGAAAGAGATGCTTGAGAGACTTGACCACCAAAATGTGATAGACAGATTTGCCAACTTCAAGGTGAGGGGACATAGGTTAAAATAAAAGAAAAAATATGCAAAGCCATAGGAGTATCTGCAGTAAAGATGTCTTCATACATTGTATACATTGTACCATAGACCACGGTGTCTTAATTTTTATAATTTCTTTATTAATACTTTGTACATTTCAAGGACTCTTCTATTTTTGGAGTGTGTTTTTTTATGTATCTGTATTTTATTATACATACATATTAAAAGTGAATCTCTGTCCAAAAAATGCACTCAGTTTACTTTTTGCTCACTACACACTAAATATTTTTGGTCATATCGCCCTGCTCTATTCCAATCCATTCTTCTTTTGCAGTAGTAGCCTTTAGCAGCACTTAAATAATAACCTTTTTTCAGATTTGATGGTTTTGTTACAGACTTTTCAAAAAAGTGTTTTGCTTTTCTTTCACAAATGTGGGGATTAAATTGTGTTAAAATGTACAGTGACAAAAACAGTGATGTCATGTTTTGTGACGAGGACCCAGGCACAGAGAGACTTGATGAATTTAAGAATCATATGATATGAAGACAACAGATGTGGAAGACAGGGAGGAACAGGGGTGTAAATGCACCAAGGAGACAGTCAGAGAGAACTCGGGACAACTGGAGACATTTAAGGATGCAGGGACTGACAGAGACAGGGAAGAAGTCTCATCGTGACAAGTAAAGTTTATCTTGCCTGGCTGGGCATCTCTCTGGGTACTCAGCACCCCCAAAGCTCTGATTCTAGAATCGCCCCTGGTTTCAGATATGTTGATAAATAACAGACATTAAAGCTGATGACTATTATTAGAGTTTTTACATTCTTACATATCTTGTGTCTTAAGATAGGTCAGACATGTGCCAAATGTTATTACTGACAAACTGCACACAACGTTTAAGGATTTATTCTGGAGGAAAAACATTCCCCATCAGCATTTTACACTACATAAAATTGTCAATATTACTGCTGACAATTTACTGACAATGGTTTTCAAAAATGCATTCTTTTCATACATTCCCCCTACAGAGCTCCTACTACTTCAGATTAAATACATTTAACACAGTGAGAGAATTGCAGGTTTTTTACTTCAACATACAAATGAAGACCTTTTATCTTACATTGGGTTTAAAGCTGTCAGAGAAAATATCATGTTCTTGATGCAGCTGACTGCAGATATGCAGGGTTGAAATCAGAAGCTGTGCAGGTCTGAGATCAGCAGTTTTCATAAAAAACAAACATATGCTCCTGTATAATGACACCAGACATATGGATGATTAATCCCTTTAGCTTTTTGTCAAGAAAGCATATGCCCTATATACAAGAACACACTCTTCTTAAAAAGGTCTCCTTAGCATACAAAAGTCCAGACAGCCCAGCCAGTCCAACCAATCAGATAACTCCTTACATCTGACCACATGGCTAGTTTATGTTGATTCTTTTTCCAAGGACCAAAGTAATCACAAAAATGCAAAATCAGGAAATGCTTCTAGAGACCAAAGCAAAATATGTACATTTCAAAAAAATCTCCAACATTTTGCCATGTTTTAAGTAATCAAGTCAATGTTACTATTCATTGTTTTTCTTATATAAAACTGGAACCTTCCAGAAGGTGGATGGCAGAAAGCTAGAAATCAGCCACAGCTAAAAAAAAAAACAACAACAAAGCCCAGTTAATATTTTAAATGACACAAGAAACATGGTAAAGCTAATCCAATAGTTAATCTGTTAGCTCAACCCATAGATAATACCAAATCTAATGCATGAGCTACTATGCTAGTTGTTCCCATAGCTAACAGGAAGTAGAAATACATTTAAAACAGAAGGCTGGAATTGCCATTTTGGAAATAAATCTCTATTAATATTAGACTTTTGAATCATTTTATTTTGTTTTTTGAAATCACATTGTTATTGAGTTTAATCCCCTTTTCTTAAAATCCATTTCATTTGAAGTATTTATGAATAGATTAATAGTTAATTTTGAAGTATTTATTTAGAAATTATTATTCTGTCCCATGGGTATGTTTTAAGTTTGTTATGACGGGTCAGCTCATTTGTTCTGTAAGTAATGGGATAGGTCTGCCATCTAGTGTTTTAATGGGGAAGCGCCAGAGTTTTTCTCCCAGCACTCGTCAGGGAAGGTCCATTTCTCTGTCTCTAACAATTACTGCATCGATTGCTCTTGAAAAGTCATAATCTTTTTTTAAAAAGAACGAAAGTATTTACAAATGGTGCAAATCAGTAAAGCTCTGAAGAAGACACAGTCTCCTGAGTGTTCGTTAAAGCCATTTAATGTTTAGCTCTCTGCAGAAGCCGGATAGAGACATTCAGCTAAGGGCAGAAGTATCTTCTTAATATACACTGAATGATCAAGAAGTGAATTTTATAATTTAAACATATAAAGGGATAAATAAAATAAATTAAAGGAATTAAATTATTTTGTAATTGACATTAATAACTAATGCATATTTTAATGCGCATGACTCTCCTGGTGCTCTGTACTTAACAGACTAACAGTGAAAAGAAAGATATAGCCTAATCTCTTATTTTGACTGTATGTTTTTTTTAAAAAAACGCAAATAAATATTTTTTATTTGAAAAACCCATAAAGCTTTTTTTTTTCCATTTTTTAATTTAATGCATGAACTGTAACTTCAACCAATGGTTTCATATTCTGCTTGCAAATGAGTCTTTCAGGCCTCATCTTTGTGAGAGTTACTAGATTTGAATCAAGTCAGTTTGAACTTGGCAGCTAAGGCTAGAAAGCTTGGTTAGGAAGCAAACCACACATCTCCCACGTACAGACATACAGTGCTCAGCATAAATGAGTACACCCCCTTTAAAAAGTAGAAATTTAATCAGTAGCTCAATGAACAAAAGAACACTTTCCAAAATTTTTATTGGTTGAAGCAAAAATGAAATACACCACGCAACAGAAAACTACTACATCTAGTATTTTGTATTACCACTGTGATTTTCAAGGACAGCACCAAGTCTTCTAGGCATGGAGTGAACAAGTTGGCGACATATTGCAACATTATCTTTTTCGATTCTTCAAGAATAACCTCTTTTAGAGAGTGGATGCTGGATGGAGAGTGATGCTCAACTTGTCGCTTCAGAATTTCCCACAGGTGTTCGATTGGGTTCAGATCAGGAGACATACTTGGCCACTCAAACACCTTCACCCTGTTCTTCCTCAGAAAAGCAACAGAAGCTTTGGATGTGTGTTTTGGATCATTGTTGTGTTGGAAAACTGCACGATGGGCTTTTCTTTGTTAAGTAATTCCCTTATATCATCACCTGTTTGCTGGGCACCTCTTAAATGAATCATTAGACTCACCTGTGGTTGAATGCCTGTTCATTCGAATTTTGTAGTCTTAAGTGTGGCTTTTCTCCTAAGACTAACTGGGGTGTGTTCATTTTTGCCACATGGGCTTGAATTAATTTGTTAGGAAAATCACTTTTTTGTCTGTGCAAATTCACAAATCTTGTTCGCATTCAATGGCCCACATTTGTGGGAGAATTTTGTAGTATACTATCTCATAGAAATGTTGATTGTGAAAGGAAACTAAAGGTTTTCTGACAAATGTAGTGGGGTGTACTCATTTATGCTAAGCACTGTATATCTGCTAATTAGTGCTAAGTGATGGACAATATACTCAGAAAAACGAAGGCCTAAACTCCTTCGGTGGGCTGTACCACACAGCAAGCCATTGTCAATTAATTTCATTAAAAATTCAAGACAGACTGACAGAACACAGTTGAGTGGTTCAGTTCAGTGACTCAGTGAGGCCTTGCAGATGGCTGTCAGCCAGCCTGTCAGTGAAAGCATACACTTTAATAAAGGAAATTCAGAACCACTAGCAAGAAATTTAATGCAGAAGTATAATCATTTAAAGTAGAAATATTAAACTGTGATAGTATAAAAATGTAACTGAACATTAAAGATTCCAAAAATGCTACGTTCCAAAATAATATTACGTTTTAGATGACAATTGTAGGTGCCCATGTTAAACAAATGCTAACTTTTCTGTTAATGAGCTCAGTGTTTGTCAGTAATCCCTGTGAGCCAAAACTACCTTTAAAGCTGAGGAGCTGATTTTTTTTATTCTTTTTTTTTCTACTTTAGCTGAGTCCAAGAATACAAGTATGCTCCTGGAAATGAGGACAGCAGATGCACTTTGAAACTGAAAAGACAAGAAACACCCACTGAACCAAGAACAAACACACTGGTTTAATCTTGCATATTCAGAGCTATAAATTTATTTGCATTCTGTTACAGTATGTTTCATTGGCATTTCAGAAAATAAGTCAGCCTTCAGTTAAAACATATATATTTATTGATATGTATATATATATATGTGCATGTGTGCGCAAGTATAACTGATTCCAACAAATCAATAACGGCAACATTCACAACAAGTATTTCTATAGCTCAAAGTTTAAAACAGCAATATTTAAAGGGGCAGTCCCCTCTAAAAATCAAGTGTGCATATTTTCACATATTTAACCTGGACTGTAGCAGTCATCTAGATTATTTTGGTGTGGGTTTCCAAGTTTTAGAAATGTAACATTACTGAGAATACAGTGGAACCTGGAATCTCAAAAAGTTAATTTGGTATTAACACTCAGCAGCAGCAGCATCTCTTTTCATAAACCATAACCCGGTTCCTTACTACAATCCACAAACGTCACTGCAAGCAGTGAGCAGGAATTATTTTCCTTCTTCTCTACATCTGCCAATTAAAGGAAGTATTTATACATGTATGTAGTAAATATTCTTTTTTTTTACTGGTGCTTTGAGTCAAATGCCATTTAGTTTCTTTAAATTCAAGAGAAGGGGGAGACGCCTCTACAGCTGATAATCCAGATCAGGAAATGTTTCTACAGACCAAAGCAAAATATGTACATTTCAAAAAGATCTCCAACAAACATTTTGCCATGTTTTAAGTAATCAAGTCAATGTTACGATACATGTATCAAAGTTAAGCAGCATAGTACAGTACAGTAAATGTAAAGCGGTGTGTCAGAGGCACTTGTTGAATCCACATGGTTCAATCAAAACTACACATTTATATATAGTATTTAATCACACTAACAATACCACGAGAGCCTACAAATACAGTAAACAGTGCAACATTTCTTGAAGGTTTTTGCTGTGACGTCACAATCAACCTTGATAGGAATCATTGTTTTTCTTATATAAAACTGGAACCTTCCAGAAGGTGGATGGCAGAAAGCAAAAAAAAAAAAAAAAAAATCAGCCACAGCAAAAAAACAAACAAAAAAAAAAGTTGTATATATACAGCTTTTCTTTCAAGTCCTCCAGGAGCAACTGAAGTTCATTAAAACACTGAGAAGAGAGAAATCAAAGCTACGAAATCATCTCACCTCCCAATAGCACTCACAGTCACAGGGATGGATATTCCAAAAGCCAAGTTAATATTTTAAATAACACAGGAAACATTTAAAATCATGACTAGATCCAGCTTACGTACCTCAGCGATGCTTTCAGGACAGTACGGATTAAGATCATTACCTTACAGCTAAAAACTCTGTGTCTACCTGTACTGGCTGTACTGTTTTAAAGAAGAGTGGAAAGGAAATTTAAGTTGTCTGGTCCTGCAGACCTCTACACAGTCACATGCAGTGACTGTGGACGTAGAGCTTCTTTTGACTACTGTCATCTGAGGGGTTGCTCTAACTAGCCATTATCTAACCATAAATTAAGACATTTTTAATGTGTAAGCAGCTGGTCTGGCATCACACCGGTTTTGCCATTGAAATAAAAACTTAGCAGTGTAGGTTCGCACACTGGCATCGAGGATACTCGACTCCAAGTAGTAAGCAGTGCAGGCTGACAGCTCATTTTTCACAGAATAACTACTCAGTCTGAACGTGACCATGGTGCCCTTCAAACAAACACGGACCGTGGGTTTTGCTAACTCATGTTCCCTTTTCCTTTTCATTACAGTAGCAGTAAAGTGAAGTTGGAGCCGAACCTATTCTTAAGAGTAGGTGTGAGCATTTTTCCTCCCACAGCATTGTAGCGTGTTCAGACCAAGTACAAAGCCAAGCTTTCATGTGCCTCCATTTGGACTATGCAAGACTTGACTTGTGATATTCTTCACATCAGGAGATAGGAACAGAAGTGTCAGATATTTTAATTTCAGTGAAAAGTTGTTGTTTTTATGCTTTGCGGCAAAAGCCATAAAGCATAAACCCAGAGCAGCTGTTAAGTCTTGAAAACACCTTCAAATTGAAAACTACTGGAGGTGAATATTTGTGGGTTGCAAAATAGTTCAAAAACAGTGGTGTGACATGAAACTTTGGTTCGCAATAGCTCTGAACACCACTGTAGTTACTGTAAGTGTGGAGGGGGTCCACTGGGTGGACTCAGTGATATAACTTTGGTCATCGTGGAGTGAATGAGTGGATCCGTGTGGTTAAAAAAAAAAAAAAAAAAAAAAACAGTACAAGAATGAGTAATTGTATCTGCAGTGGTTTGTGGATAATCAGGCCTTAACCATTTCCTTGAGTATCACAAACCCTAAAATATTCTTCACCCATCCATTGTGACACAAACATATTTGGTAAAATCTAAGCATTCCATCTTATTTATTTTTACTCATAAAGACTAAAAGAAGAGTCAAATTTCTTTGCTCAACATGATGCCAATTTAAATGTGAGCTTCCATTTTAATGCGTTTGACTGCTGAGGAGTAAATGACAAAACAGCCTCACTGGTAGCATTAGAAAGATCAGTGGTGCAGATGGGGAAAAGAGAGAACAGTTCCTAAGTTGCTTTTTCAGCTGCAGGTTAAGAAATGCGACAGAAAACCTTACAGTTTCCCAAATCTAAGACTTTTGACACTTCAGTTCTAAAAGTCATCACCAGACACAGCTTTGTCGAGTCCATTGATCCTTTCAGGCAGCATGCCTTCCTCAATGGCTACCTTGGATGCTTGGACCTAAAAGACAGATGAGCAGATAACACTGATGCTGACCTCCATCCACACGAGAACAGTACTGCAGAAAATCCTTTTAAGGTGTAATTCCAAATAAAAGACAATAATATCTTTTCATGTATTATTTCCATTACCTGGAATGGTTCACTTATTCCAATGATGCACTTCAGAGCGTTACAGTAGTAGCACAGCACGCAGTCTCCTCCCTGCACGGGGATTTCCTCCTTACTTACATAAACCTACAGAAACAAGAACATTTCCATCACCTGAGGCTTACATGCACTTTTGCTCCGGCTCATGTTTAAACTGCAGTCCCACTCACTGAGACAAGAGTTACCACCTGTATAACCTCCTCGTTGAAGGCCACCTCGTCGTCTTTGACCCACGTGTAGGTGATGTAGTCTGACACGCTGCTGAAACCAACCTGAAAATTCACACAAACATGAAGACTTTCAACTAGCACACTGAACCAGCCAGCAGTGAAACACGTGTTGTCAACCTTATAGAGGCCGATCCAGTCCCAAGTACTGGAGGGGAATGGCTGCAGAGGGCTGTAGACCACCATGGCATCAATATCTGCGCTCCAGTCGCCCTCTGCCCGCAGACGCACCAGAGGAGTCTCGTACATCTTCCTCAGCTGTAGGCACGCACAAATCAACAGTCCAAGTTAGAAACCACATTCTGTACAAGAGGAACCACACAGCTATGGAGACTTTCAAAAGAGGGATAAGAGAGTCACACTATCATGACAAAATCTATGATGGATAGTTAGAGGAGATTGCATCATTATTGAAGTCACATTCACTTTGTCAGAAGAGTGTGAAGCCAAAGCATCTAAAACCTGTTTTGCATGTAAGCAGGGGGCGACTCATCTGCATACAAAAACACTTTTTCAGTTGTACGAATGTCTATGGGAAAAAATGACCTGTCAAGTTAAGTTACAAGTACAATAAAGAATTTTCAGATAAGTTTATAGTCTCAAGTGCTTTCAGTTACAATATATTCCACGGTAATCATTAGAACTCCCAAAAAAAGAGGACTGCTAAGGAACCATATTCATTTCCAGTGTTGGGAAGGTTGGTTTTAACTCATTCACTGCCAGCCATTTTCAAATCAGGTAACTCCCCACTGCCAGGGTTTTTGAGCATTTTTACTCATTTTTGAAGAGCCACAGAAAACTGTGCGTTTTTCAATTGACGTCTATAGACGTCAATGGCAGTGAATGAGTTAAAATGTATTCCAATACAGATTACAGATTACATGCTCCAAAATGTATTTTGTAACGTATTCCGTTACGTTACTCAATGAGAGTAACGTATTCAGAATACTTTGGATTACTTGATATATTATCATGCTTTTTACAACTACATGAATGTGCTATTGCTGTGTGATTTATTATGATTACTGAAGGATACTCGCCGTACCAATACCAACTAGATTTTTAAATCTTAATATAAAATGAGTAACAGTAGGTGGACATTAGGTAAGGCTGCGCTTTTTTGCAGCGATCTTGTATACAAAACTATTCCGCGCATTTATAAAACAGGTGCGCGGCTCTGAACCGTAGTAAAGGGACCTCTGGCTAATACGTCGGGTTCTTGTCGGGCTCGTAACCGAAAACTAGTTTTACTTTGTTGTCTGGGTCAACTTTGCTAGCGAGAGACAGAGAGAGGCGTTGAAAGGCTGCTCCAAAGGAACTTATTGTTTTGGAGGAAAACACAGTGTACAGTCGAGTCTTAATAGCTTATTGTTACACCCCGGCCTAGGCAACCGGCGTGCAACGCAGGAAAATAAAAATAAGGCAAAAAACACACGAGAAAAAACTAATACGGGCTTCCACAAAAATAATCCCAAGATGAGATTTAAAGCAAGATACGACATTTATTTACATCACCAAACACAAGGCGCCAAACTATTTACAACGGGGGGGAAGATCGCGACCATGACATACAGAAACACAGGGCTTAAATACATAGAAGGAGCAATTAGAGAATGGACCACAGGAGGGATACACAGCTGGGGCAAATAAGACCTGACGAGACAAGGAAACGTAAACTGAACACTAAGATAACACAGACTTTCAAAGTAAAACAGGAAACACATAACAGTCACGCCAAAACAAAACGCCTAAAACAATACACTGCCACCACCGAACCGTAACACTTATTTACAACTAGGCACTCTTTTTGGCTGCAGTGGTTATTTTTATTATTATTATTATTATTATTATTATTATTATTATTATTATTATATTTAGATGCTTCCATTTCCGGTTGGTGACAACTCGCACTCTTCAACTCTCCTTTTTCTCCCTCCTCGCGCTCACAGACACATAACGGGTACAGCAGTCCATTTCCCCTGCAGCACGGACTACACTGCCCATGAGGCTACATTCTTTAGAGCTATACCTGTAACACTCTGCCTATTGCCTTCATATTAAATAATTTTTTTTGAATAATAAATTTTACATATATTTCTTCACGTCATTATGTGAACCACAAGTACAGGTGACACAGGCCGAGAGATTAAGACACAGGCATTAGAGCCTCTTAATGCGTGATTTGTTTGGGTTTCCACCGGAGTGGAATGACCACAAATAGAGAGGGCGTAACCTAAGATGAAACAGAAAAAGACCGCCGTGTAATCCATTTATTTCAACAAACTGTATTCTGAACACCACCCTTTGAAACGGTACCTGTAATGGAATACAGTTACTCAGATTTTGTATTTTAAATACGCAACGTCGGTACATGTATTCAGTTACTGGTCCTTTAAAAATGAATTTTTGTTTTTAGAATGGGTTGTCAAAACTTATTTGTACAGTGAAATGAGTTTGATATTTCAAAATATCAGCTTAATGTCCCCGTAATAACTGCAGCTACCTCCACACTGAGCAGTAAGTGATGTTTCCCATCACATCCTGCATGCTCACTTTTAGTGGGACGCTATGATAAGGATGATGATTTACATCATCTCCAAAAGTGTCGACAATAAATACACAACACAATCAACTGATGACCTGCATCAATAATTCAGGTCATAAACAAATGACTGAAAGGTGACTGACTGCATCTGGATAGTCACAGTTTCCAGTTTCTCACCTCCAGTGTGAAGATACCAATGACAGGCTTGTGGTCACTGATGCTGTACTCCATGATGCTGGTGTACACGTCCTGTCTGATTTTCAGGGGGTACTCCATGTCCTCTTCCAGCTGCTTGAGCTTCTTTGCATCTAGCCCAACTTTGTTTTCATTTTCCTCATCCGGGGGCAGGGCTTTGGGTCGGAGTCGCCACAGAATCCTGTCAGTCCAGGCAGGCTTACGCTTCTTAGCACTGGACAGGTAGTTATAGATGACAGATGGACAGAGAGCAGAGGCCAGTTTGAGTTGTCAGACAAAGTCAAGTGTTTAAAGCAAGAACCTGCGTTGGTATGAGGCACACGCCTGGCTGAAGTGCCTTATACCAATACGATGTGGGGCTGGGGAGAATAAAAGGTTCAGGCAGCAAATGACATGCCAGGACCTCAGTGACGGGGTAACTGGAAAGTATTTCACAGGTACAAGAAAACCAGCACACTGATGTATTCTTTGAACTGCTGTTTGTTAAGAATACTTGGAAAACCTGTTTTATAATGCATGTTGTACAGAGCACTTTGAGTACTCCGGGAGAGTAGAAAGCGCTATATAAGAATCAGTCCATTTAGCTTTTATTTACAGTACAATGTTTAAGGCCATCACTGTCACCAAAGGGCCGCCAGGTATCAGTTTGAAAATGCCTATTTTTACCCCTCATCCTCCTCCCTTACCAAACACACACCTCTGGCCATCACCCAGAACCCCCCCCACCCCCACCCCATCATACATAGTGCCAGCTCTGACTGGAACCCTGTTATAATCAAACACACTCTATTATCCACAATGGTAGTACCGTATTAGCATGACATGCATTTACAGCCATCCATGTTAGGCACATCATATTTATATAACACATTCTGAAAGCTAATGCTGTAGGTTAAATTTGCATCAGTGTAGACATGATACATAAAGGTACCCTGTGGAGATTCTTTTCTTTTTTATATATATATCTCATTTGACAAACAGGAACTTATGCTAGCTAAAACTACAACTAAAACTTTGCTCTGATGTGCCCGTAGAGATCAAAGCATCCACAGTGTACCTTTAACAGCTGCCGTAATGTGAGCGCAGATGAAAATCTGTAGCACCAACAAGCATTTCGGTCTTTGATTTGCAAACACAACCATAGGGTTTGTCTTTCTTAGACTGTTCAGCCCCTTTCAGACACACTGCTGGCTAATAAATCCGTTAAAGTGACGGCTCTCTTTCACACAGGAGTAACTCTTACATTAATGTTACTCATCAGACTTTAATTAAGTGGTCTAATAACACTTATCCAGCTGTGCTATATCCAACATCGGGCAGTACATCAACGGACGTCATTTCTCGATTTCTGACCAAGGTGTTTATACTTTGGTAGACACTTGGACACTTGCAAATGTCACATCCTGCATGTAGTATTAAGTATCCCTCCACACTTTATAAACTTTAACAAAATGTACCCTTTAAAAACAGCTAAAGCTGAACTGAAGTACACAGCATTAATTAACAGTAATTAATGAAGTGTTGCCTAAGAAAAACACATCCAACTGTCCTGCTTTGGATAAGTTGGTGATGGATTCTGGTGCTGTGTGACACTCCAGGTATGTGATAAAATCAGAGGAAAGCCTCCCACAATTAGCTCAACAACACATTACAAATCTGATCTGTCGTTGACTCATAAACTTAGTCACAGTGAAGACTTTCCCACTGTATTTGATGTGTAATAAATACTAAATGTAGAGAAAAGTAAATGTTTCGTGTTTTTTGCAGAGGTCTGTGTGCCTCTCCAAAAACCAGAGCTATACTAACAATGTGTTTCACACTCTGATTTAATTATTGGCCAGTGCTTGCATTGAAATGTTTACTGTGTATTGCTGTTTTGATACACAGGAGCATATTAAGCTGTCTGTGATATTAGTTTGTCCAAAGATCATGAGCTAGAAACTACAAGCAGGCGTGTCAAACAGTTTTGTTTTGTTTTTCTCGTGTTATTGCTGATCGGGACTTTCACCAGAACAATCATGGCTTTTAGTGTACTGAGGGAGTGGAGATGCCGGACAAACACGTGCAACAGAAATTTCTTTGCAAGCCCATCCAGCTGATGTGACTGCATTCATGACCCACATCGTCAGATCGCTGTCCCAACTTTTAGAGAAACATGGGCCGTGTGCTCTTTAAGGCACGAAGCGCAGGAAAGGAGCACATGTCTGAAAGGAGCCTGAACACCTGTGTGTTTGTTTAATGTGCAGCATGTTACAGATAAACATAATCGTCAGTAAGCCTTTGAACACATGAGTGACATTTTAACTTACCACATTAAAAACAAAAAAAACATGACACTACTTTTACTGCCGTGTTAAAAGTAGCGTGTACACATAGTGAAGCTCGGTTAGGTGAACTACGTGCTAGATAATGACATGTATTAAGAAGAAAGAGGGAAATGTGGACAAATCGATTCTGAACTCTTACTTAAAGCCAAACCATGTGTTGTAGAGTCTGTAAAGTTGGAAAGAGGTACAGATAAAAACATATACAGCATACTGTGAGCAAAGAGAAGGGTGAGTATGATTCATGGTTTTTATGGTGATGTTTTCTTGTGTACTACCTGGTGTCATAAGTATCAGAGCTACGGTCAAACTTATATGTGGGCTGAAAGTCCAGAGGCCCCTCCTCAAACTCCTGCAACACCTGCTCCTTCTGCTTCATCATGATCAGCTGAAAACAATAACACATGTTTCATAGTCACATTACCGAGGCTGCTATGTGGGATGGAGGATCAGGAGCTGTGAGACTCTTTAAAGGGCCACACCTGGTCTTTGCTCCACAGCAGGCTGTAGTTCTGCTTGTCGATGCAGGTGCGGACAAAGTGCATGCCGTGGTCCTGAATTCGGAAGTTGAGATCTCCAAACCAGAAAACCAATCTTGACCAGGAGAGGGGAGACAGAGAAGGAGGACGGTGACACATGAAAGAATAATGAAGAAGTGACTTTGGTGAGATATGTGAAGCTTCAACATCATTTCTTATCCCAAACATTCAGGTGAATCACAGTTTGTATCCTGTGCGTCTTCTCACCTGTGATCAACAATAGTTGGAGCTCTTTTACAGTCAAAGCTCTGCATGTCCATGATATACTCAAACTCATCCACCCTCTCTGAGGCATAGTTCATATGAGCAGCCAAGTGGCAGTTAAGGAAGCAGAGTGTGTGGCCATAGAAAGATAATCGGATGGAGACGCCGCCTTTATTACCCTGAGAGTGAAACAGGGTTGAGAAAAGAGAAAAACAGTGAATGTGTTGAACTAGACTCCATACTCTGTTCAGTTTTTAAGCTGCAAGAGACACAACTCCTCCACCAGCTGGTGACCCTCATGTAATAAATGCAGAAGCCCTCTTGAAAACCAAACAAAAATACTGGAGTTCACAAAGTGGGATCTGGTTTCACATATGTTCCTACATGTTACTCAATTCCTCATTTCAAGGAGAAGTGTGCTAGTTTTACACATTAGAGGGTGTTTACACATGTGAAACAGAAAACCAGCTCCAACGATGACAGTGAAAGGAGTACACAAACCAACATCCACCGTTTATATACAGTCTATAAAGGGGCCAGCACTACTTCTCTTGGAAGTGTGAGCTTGGCTTAACCCTTTGAGACCTACCATAGAACCAAGTCCGCCAGAGCTTATATTATATTTTTACATGCTGTGGAGCCATTTTTGGGAGCATTTCAAGTTGCTATACATCAATACAACCATTACAGCCCAAATTTTAATAATATGTCTGCATTAAGTGCATAGTAATTACATAAATCGCAAAAAAGTGCAATAAACTACAAAAAAATTGAAAATCGTTTTTGTTTTTTTAACATATATTTCTAGTTAGAGAAATTTAAGAGGCTCATCCCTCAAAACTGTAAATACAAAAAAGTTGCACAAACTAGTTTCCCACCAAAGGAAATTTATTTTGAGTGTCTTCATAGTTTTATTTTTGAAATACACCAATTTTTATATACTGCAGGAAAAACAGAAATAAATATTATACTGCAAATTTGCAAAATAACAGCATATGCATCAAAATAAACTATTTCCAGCAGTGCAATATGAGTCCTAAGCATCCCAGAAACGACACAGAAAGTCATAAAGCCAAACATAACTTTTAAAAACACAAGTATAGGCTCATAAGGCCCCGATCGTAAAAAACTACATTTCCGCAAAATGACATCACTTCCGGTTTCGGGTAGCTCATGGCGGACATGCGACAGTTCACGCTGATGGACGTAGGAAGTGTTACAAACAGCTGATCGGATCGGCAAAGCGTGTTTCTGGAATATTATGTTTTTGTTGCTGCAAGCGCTTTTTATGCAATTTTTGCGAAGCTATATGTGGAAGGAAACTGTGACCGAGGACAAGCTGATGGCATAAGATGTAAGTACAACTCCTCCGGTTTCATATGCAAAAAAAATTATTGCGCTAGCTTACGTGGTTGCAGAGCTACCGGGATTTAAAAATAGTTACGCAAAATGGAGCGTGCCCGCTCCGACCGGCTTTAAAGGGTTAATGATGATGATCAAGTTCATCCATCTGAAAGTAGACAGTTCCTCTGAGCTGACCAAAAATCTGAATTCAAGGTCAGTATCTGTGGGTGGGATTTGTGACACTACAATAAGCTGTGACTGATTTAGGCTTTCCTTAAACAGGCATCCAACACAAATAGGAAGGAAAGGAAGGAGGAAACCTGAAGTCTGCACTTGTTCACAATGAGGACAGACTTAAAGAAGACATCCTAAATCCACTAATTAAGAATTTTGGCGGCAAAGGCTTGTTTTGAATAATAGTTTTTCCCAAAGTACTAGAATGTTTTGCTTTTAAATAATAATTTTAATACACCTTTAAACAAATAACCAAACAGAGATGTACTCATCTCTGTTTGGTTATTTGTTTAAAGGTGTATTAAAATTATTATTAGTATCTAAAGTATCTAAAACCTGAGGGGACCAATGCATGCACCAGATTTTTAAAATAATAATAATAAAAAAATAATAATAATAATTAAAAAAAAAAAAAAAAAAAACACAACAATGCAGCTAAGGGCTGTTCGATATTGGATGACAATATACATCTATCGTTTCATATTATGCTATCGTGGTGTCGCAAAATAAGCTGTTTATGACAATGTTTTCTCATCGTTTTCATGGTCACTGTAGTGGCTATATTAATTTCTTAAAGTTCTCTCTTTCTCTTTTATTTAAAATAACCACATTACAGACAGACAAGCAGCTGTTTTTACGTGTACTTTCGTTAGCAACAACAACGGTAAAACCATTGTTTAGCTCCACTGTCTGCTTGTTTATTTTCCACATAAACCTTTCACAATAAAGCTCAAGATCCTGTTGAGACTTTTCAAAATAACTGAAATGATATGCATTATTCTCAAACATCTAATTTCCGAATATGCATCCAACAAATTACCTCAAATAAAAACATGAAGTAACTATAAAGGACTAGGGACTAGTAAAGCGCTATATAAATACAGGCCATTTACCATTTACCATAAATGGCGCTTACAGTCACCACATGGATGCAGGCACAGAGAATACCAGCATGGCCAGTGAAGATGAGGCATAACCAGTTAGCTCCAAACAGAAGGACTAGTCGAGGACCTTATTCCAAAACAAGGGCTACCTCTGTAGCATGGACAGGGTTTGGTTATGACACAGACCAGAAAACTGTATTATGAAAAATTATGCTGCAAACCAGTCCCCACCACAGACTCAAACACGACAATCCTCTTCTAACACCTACGGCCAACTACACAAGAATCCCGTGAAAGAGTGCAGAGAGAGTTTACGGATGAGAAGCAAAAAAGAGCTGTCAGGTGCTCAAAATAAACGTTAGACTCAAACGTTAGAACAGGCTTTTCCCCACAGCACGCCATGTACTAAATACTCACAAAGAAAATGCACTATTTTGCGATATATATCGTTATTGGGATAAGAAATGTTTATATCGGGAAATTAGATTTTGGTCATATCGCACAACCCTAACACATCTGATTGATTTAGATCACCCCCCCCCCCTTTTTTTTTTTTTTTTTACATCTGAAATTTTTCTAAAAGTGAAATAATAAAGCAGTTCAGCATTTCTCACCCAGTAACCAAAGAGGCCTGTGCGTGTGTACGTCGCCTGGACGTCTCTGATGAAGGGGACGTGCTCCAGCTTGGAGAAGAAGAGCAGCAGCAGGCCCTGCATTCTTATGGACGACACCTGAAACACACACAGCACAAACTGTGTTCTCCTGACCCTGTGAAAGTGTGCATCCACTGTATTGCATGTGTGGGAGTTTTCTAAGGTTTTTTACCTTGATGTACTTCTGTGGCGCTAAAAGCGACATCAATAGATAACTCCACGGGTCATCGAACACAGCATCTGACACAAACCTCAACGGGCCAGAGTACACTTCCTGCAGACTAACACACACACAAATCTGATTGTAAATCGGCCCCTTATCCACTTATACAGATGCATTGTGCATCACATCACCTACCCAATGACGTAAAGGTCAGGGCTCTTTGGAGAGTTCAGGTGGAGAAGTGTGGTCACATCGTCTGGAGGATCAGCTGTAGCCACATTCCACGTTACCATGTGCAACCTGTGGGCACAGAAGAGGAAATTACAAACAGTCTGAAGTAAACAACTAGATCAGAGGTAGGCAACACCAAGCCTCAAGTGCCAGTGTCCTGCAGGTTTTAGATGTGTCCTTGATCCAACACAGCTGATTCAAATTGCTAAATTACCTCCTCAACATGTCTTGAAGTTCTCCAGAGGCCTGCTAATAAAATCATAATTTGACCCAGGGTGATATTGAAAACCTGCAGGACACCGGCACTTGAGGCCTGGAGTTGCCTACCCCTGAACTAGATATCAGGTACAACATTCAACCTTTAAAACAACCGAGACCATCTTAAATTATGGCTTAATTTTTCCAGGTATGAAAATCAGATGACCTGAATTATAACCTCAATAAACTCTTTCCTGGTCCCTTTTGGGTCTCAATAACAAATTTCAAATCTTCTTTAAGACAACACAATGTTCACTTTGTATATTATGCTCCCCATTAGAGTCACAGGAGCACTAAAGCATTATATACTTTGGGGCGAGACTGCATCTTAAAATATACCATGTAATTGACAGGTCACTACAATAAAACATGTGACACTAGATGATACAAATACATGTGGCTTCAGCAGCTAAACATTCAGCCCAAGGCTTCACAGATGGGACTTGGGATGGCTGCGTCCATGATGTACACGCATTCAGCTGCAGCATATCATTTAGGCTTCACAATCAAAGAAGTCCTTTCAGCTTATCTCGAACCAAAGACGAGCCCGTAACACAGGTTTAAAAGCTGCCACAATAGCACCATTGTGCAATTACCGTAAGCAGGCCAGGCTGATGCAGTTGACACATAATCAGATCAGTCATCCTTGAACCCAAACTTGCAACATTCATAATATGGAATAATATTTTCACACTTACTTAAGTGTAAGTAATAAAAGCATATGAATTAAATTTAAAAGACTGCATTTTCTTGGATGGTTTCACTCAGCAAGGGTCTTGTGTTGGTCTCTGGTCACTGCCTGAAGCCAGACAACAACTACAGGTCATGTTGCAATGGGATCACGCCAGCCACAATGAGTTCTCAGTGTTGCTTTCTGCAATACTAAAATGTGTCCACAGTGAGACAAGAAAGTCCTCTCCGTTCAGAAGCATTAAAGGACAGCGAGGGAACACTCCTGAATTACAATATACGAGGATGTTTTGGTAGAAGATGTAGAAATATAAACACAAAAATCAAGTAATATTAATGATTTCTAAAACTCTAATTGGTCACAAACTTATTAAGCAGTTTAAAAAACAACAACAACATATTTGACTTTGATGCTCTTCTCATATCCCAGATAAATCCCACAGAAATTTAGATAATTTAAAGTTAAATGCTCAGATAAATCCATGGAGGCATTTCAAAATGACTGCTGAGTTTCAATACAGCAGCTGTCTCTAAAACCACATTTTAGCATACTGACGCACAACAGGGAAAGACAAGGTAAGAACAATACAAGCTACACTACTGCAACAAGTACAAACTCATTAAAGCGATAAAATCTCCAGCTTCAAACATCAACAGAGGCGGGTGAGCAGTCAGCATCAGTCTCCACCTGAAGCTGTCCTTCTTCGGCTTGTTGGCTCTCTTGCCGCAGACGAGGAAGGCGTAATCCAGGGTCTTGACCACCTTCTCGTGCAGCTCGTTTTTGGGGTTCAAGTCCTCGACGCAGGTCATCAGCTGGTGAAGCCGATGGAGCAGGGCCAGTTTGCTGCCCGTTGACTGTGTGGAAACGCTTTCGGTGCGTTTACGCTCTATGCTGCCCAACAGCCGAGTAATTTCATCCATCCTGGTCCAAAACTGCGAGGCCTGCTTGAGCCGGTGATGGAAGATGTTGGAAGTAACAAAATAGAAATGTAAAAAGGGAATCAAATGAGCCACAGTCCTCCTTCTGCAAAATCAAACCACTGAGTGAAGTGGCATCTAAACCCCCGGCTCAGGGGTTTAGGTGCTCCAGAGTTGAACAGAGTGATTAGAGAATTGGTTCATTTGCCCACAATTTGTCTTTGTGTTCTGGAAACTGTTTATAATCTCATTGTTAAATGTCTAAAGGTTAGTCCTATTAAACATTGGGAAATCAACTTGCATGGGTGATTGGAAACACGTCCCTTTTCATTCAGCAAGCCGTCAGGCTGTCCTTTCCTTGGGCAGAACACCAGCAACACATTGCTTTTTTTCCCCCTCAAATCCGCATTAGGTATGTATTGTTGGGCAACCTAATCCACCTGCCAGAATGCAGTGACATTTGTTCACTGGCAAACAGCGGACTGGGTCTGGTCTTGGAGCACATTTAACCCAAATGGGACAAACATACGTGCTTCTAGAAAAGGCTGAAAGTCCTGAGAGCTACACTAGGCAGCCAGAATATCACAAGCCTTACATTAGCTAATGTGGAAATGCATCACACAGTAAGAAAGGCAGGACAAACACAGCTCAGCGGGGGGGAAAGGAAAGGAATACGTCTTTTAACCAGCTTTACCACTAAACTTGGTGATGTCATGTTGGTGCAACAAAAGGAGAAGCTCAACTGGCTAAAACAACACTACAACACACAAGACAGAAATGCCTTATCAGTGGGGAAAAAAAAGAAGACATGTGGGAAAAGGGCTGGAGCTGAAGTACAATATAGTGAGAACAGCAAGAAAATGTTCTGTTGTTTCTTAATATAAATAAGCGACCAACTTGGCCACTGCAAGACTGAGTTCCTTTACAAAAAGTAGATCACTGCTGTTGCAGCTCAACAGCATTTTCCTTCTTTCAAATTATTCAAGTTGAAAGGTGAAATATTTCTTCTCTATTTGTTTGTTTTTGGATGTCTGATATCTAATGTTAAAGACTTTTCACCAAAACTGACTAAAAACCACAGGACTAGAAAAATCAAGCAAGTAAGAAAAACAAACAAACAAACAAACCACAAGTACGTCCTGTTCCGAGACTTGAGTTGAGTAAATCATACAGACCATTAATAAAATGTGGAAAATTCCACTAAAAATACACCACAGACATGATGGAGAGGTTTAGCTGAGTACATTAGCTGAGGTGAGATACTCCCTAACTTTAAGATCAATCACCATAGCTGTGGACACCATGGACCCCACGTGTAGTTACATTTTCTAGAGAATTGTTGTTTAACTGCCCAGTTTACTTTGTATGGTTTCACAGGGGTTTCCAGTTATGATGTAGCTACAGTGCAAATTTACAGCTAAAACATAAATTCCCAGTAAAGCTTAAACCATCCAAACAGCTGAATTACAATTACCTTTATCCCGTGAGTTGGTATGAATTGAGACGTAAGCTTTTGAAGCCAGGAACTGGAGTTTATGTACCCGGAGGCTTCATCTGTCTATATGCACCTCATCCGCGCTCTACTTTCAAGTCATACTGAATGCATGAATTTAATTTTCTAAATTACTGTCCACGCTTCACTTAACTAGACCCCTGATTTTTTATTTTTTTTATAAAAATAAAAAATCGACTGTGACTTTAGGAGCTTTTTAAAAGGATTTTTTGATACGCAAGCCCGTACTCCATTAAGTTGCGTGAACCTCTAATGTGTTAATTTGCACTAGCGTATGTCTAAGCGTCTCACCCCAACACTTTATAAATTCAAATTACCGGCAAAGCTTGCTAGTTACCTGCTAACTTAAAGCCTTTTCTAATACAGTCACTTCTGGCTCCCAGAGAAACACAAAGCTAACACCGACCCGGTCACAGTGACTCTGTTCATCTTTCACATCCATGCACCAACCTGAAGCTTTCCTCCTCCTTCTCCCCGAGGTCTAACTGATGACTTTCCAGTGGCTCTTCACTGTCCTCCATCGGGTCCACACCTGGCAGGCAAAGAGGCAAATTCAGTCAAATCAACTTCATTAAGCTCACGTCGCCACGAAATGAAAGCACAAACTAAAGTAAAAGTACAACTCTTATGCATAGTTGTTAGCTGACAACGCTAACTCACAAAGTTTTCATGACTGAAGTTTAACTAACCTGAGTAGGGCACATTTCCCACCCCCGGCTTGTGCATATTCTTTTCTACCAAGTTTGTAGCATTTATTTACACCCAGCTAACATCTTACAGCCATTCACTACCGTGGTGCTGCATCTGATAAACACAGCGCTAGCTACACTGCGCAGTTAGCGAAACCAAGCGTCTTGCTTTTTCACATTCAACAGCAAACACTTTAATCAATAATTATGCCCGATAATGATTTATCGTACGCTACCTTTTATGCGTTAGTAGTATTTGTGAATGTTGTTTTATCTATTTGCAGGAAGCTGTACAGTACATCAATAATCCAGCCTGCGGGCTCACTAATAGGGAAGTTGATTACTTTCAAAATAAAAGCACGAACAAGATAAGGCACAAGGACTTAGTTACAAGTAAGACACACGACTGGCACACAAAACCGGGAAAATGCCTGTTAATTGAGACTGGAAGTTGGCTAGTTTAAAAGAAAAACGCTAGAGTTAATTGTTTGTACACCAAATCTATTTCAATCTAAACTGCCAGTATATAATATAATCATACGCGAGTAAAAATGTAAGTTTACTCAAAAAAGTTCTGCAAAGAACACAAAATAATGCTAAAAAAATAACAATACTATTTCTGTTAAAGCATGAGGAATCAGACTCCTGTCTTCAACAAGATTAAATGCCAGTAATCAAGACTTTTGACTTCTGCCAAGTATTTTAAAGCTTTAAAAAAAATAAAAAATAAATAAAATAAAAAAATTAGTTTCAAAACGCACATGTGAATATTTTTCTCCAGGGCACTGACAGCCCATTTCCTTTTTTGTGGCACCCAAATGTGTCACAGAAAATAAAGGTCAAAATCACAATAAATGTTATGAATTAATCTGGATATTGTATGATCTGTATGAAAGACATTCAGCTATATCACAGAAAGGGTCTTTGGTGGGGGGGGTGTTGCTGAAGGTTTAAAAGATCACTGAGACACTTACAGCAGAGATACAAATACATATGTACAAATGCAATGAACAATGTTATAACTCATATTTATATCCAGGTTATTGTGTGGATGCTTTAAGCATCCACACTATTGAGTTCCTGTTTCTCTTTATTCTTTATACTTTATTGTGTGGATGCTTTAAGCACCCACACTATTGAGTTCCTGTTTCTCTTTATTCTTTATTATGTGGATGCTTTAAGCATCCACACTATTGAGTTCCTGTTTCTCTTTATTCTTTATACTTTATTGTGTGGATGCTTTAAGCATCCACACTATTGGGTTCCTGTTTCTCTTTATTCTTTATTATTATTGTGTGGATGCTTTAAGCATCCACACTATTGAGTTCCTGTTTCTCTTTATTCTTTATTCTACTTTATTCTAGTTGCCACTTTTTGTGCTTTTTTTGGCACTTAACTACTTCCACAATTTTCAGCCGATTTTCCAAATAAAATAACTTATAGAAAAAATAGAAAAATAATTCCCTTTTTTAATTTTGCCCCATACAAGGGACCCAAATTTTTGGTTGCAAAAAAACAAGCCAAGCAAGAAAAACACAAAATTAAGAACAAAAACAAAAGTTTAAAAAGAAATAAAAGGACTCAGTTCAGGTTTTTTGGGCCCTGCTGATTAACTGGCCGGGAAGCCTAACGTGTGGTTGTGTGGTTGGTGTGTTGGGGGTGGTGGTGGTGGTGTGTGTTGGTGTGTGGGTGTGGTGGTGGTGTTGTTGGCTGAGTTTTGCTTTTTCTTTCTTTTTTTTTTTTTTTCTTGGTCTCCAGGATTTTTGATCCCCAAAAACAATACCTTCCAAAAAAAATGCAGTAATTTTTAACAATGAAAAAAAGCTAAAAATTGGTTTTAAGGAAAAAAGTCAGGAAAAATAATGAAGAATTGAAATGGGCAGTTTTTGGAATTTTTAAGGATCCATCCATCTTCCTCCACATATCTTATTCAGAGTAGCCATTGGGCTTTTGCCTATCCCAGCTGTCATAGTTTGGTTGGCGAATTACTCCTTGGACAGGTCGCTAAGCTATTGCAGGGCTAACCCATAGAGACTGCCAGTTTAGAGTCACCAATGAAGCTAACATGCTTGTCTTTGGACTGTGAGAGGAAGCCAGAGTGCCTGGAGAGATCCCACGCACACATGGAGAGAAGATGCACACACTATACACAGAAGACCGTCTTGCTGTGAGTGCAGTGGCACTAACTACCACACCACCGTGCTGCCCCAGTTTAAGAATATAGATATTAAATGCGTCACTATGTTTAGCTGGTTGATAAATTGTCAGACATGCATTGCTAAGTGTGCAGTGTAGCCCACACATCATTTCTGGGAGTTGTTTTGCTAAAAACAGCTGCTGGTTCATTTGGAAATGACACTGGTAACAGTGGCGCTAACTGCTTTCCAATGACTTGTCTGTAGGCTCACTTGTGTTTACTCAGGCACTTAAAGATTTTCCCCACCCCTGCATTTTCCTTTTCCACTTTGTTCCTCTCGTCTGTTTCTGCTCCAGCGTGTTTGTTTCTGTTCAGATGCCCGCGACTTGCCTTACTTCTCGCCTTGCTTCATTTCACACTTTCGTTTTCTTCCTCCCTGTTTCCTATGGTTTTTCCAGAGTGCTTATGGGATATAAACGCACTTCAAACACAATGCATGCCATCCTTCCTCCATGTTATTGTTACTTTTGTGCAAAAGACTGAAGAAACGCCATAGAGAGGAAATATGAATCTTGCAAATATCCAGGCATCCTGGGGTGAACTGATGTTTGACAAGCGAGCTGTGAGACAGTCTCGTAGCTCACTCAGCTGGGGGTTAAGCAGTTGTTCTTTAAATCCATCTGTGTTGGAGAGATTTGAAATACCTTGACAGAATTCAGAGAGGATGAGTTTTAATTAAATTTACACAATTGAGGCTTGGCTCTAGTGTTCTTAGCCGTGTAAGAATAGTCAAACAGTATGTGGATGTACTCATGGCCAGAAGACTTTTAGATACAGATGGCCACTAATGCAGACTGAGAATATTTTAGCGTGACAGCAGAAGCAGCTATGACTTTGGGCAGTTTGGCAAGAAAGCTGAGGGTGGCTAGAAGAGTAAGGAAAAGGGTGAGACATGTGTTGCTAGATTCATTATTTATTGATCCCTAATGATGAATGTGGCCTGTTAGCATTGTCAACATTTCTGTGTCCTTGCGCTCGGCGTGTCATCTTGTTGTTCACGAATCGCTGTTATTATTTTTTAGATTACAAGGAGAGCTGGATCAGGCAGGATCCACCGGTTTTGAATAGGCCTCAGATGTTGTTATAGGCCGGGATAGGAAGATGACCGTGGACCATGTCTGAGAAAAGAAACTCACCTGCTGGACACAATGGATAAATATGTATGAAACACATACTTACTTTCCATTGGGCCCTCCCAGTACATGGCTATCTCTGACTTGGGTGGAATCGAGTACGCTCCCAGCACTGATCTTCCCTTCCCTGCTCAGCGACAACTGTGCCAAGACACCGTTCACATTAAACGAATCAAAAGACCAAATTAATGGCAAAGGTGTTTCTCAAAAAAAATGACGAGAGAAGTTATAACTAGTGAGGTACTGGAGAACCTTTGTGTATTTTATGTTTGGTATCCGATTGTACCTACCTCGCTCGTGTGCTTTTTCTAGAAAGGGAGCATGATGAAATCTGCACTACTGTTGAGTAACCAAAAACCAAAAAGTGGCTGCTACATCACCAACGCTATATGTGTATTGTGCACAGTACACCCAGCTAGTGCCCACCTTCTCAGTCTAACCTTAAGTCGCTATCTTGGACCTGCTCTCAAACGATAACAGAGATGTATGAAGCCATTAAAAAAAGGTGTTCTCAAAAAGATGATATGTATATGACCATACCTGCATGTGAGCATGATGAAATCTGCCTATGTGTAAGAATCAGTGCAATCAGCTATATTTATGTCAGCTGCCTTCCATCCTACACTGCACTTCAAACATCGAGTAAGTCATAGAGTATAATGACCACAGGGTGACTCTTTTTTTCTTTGAATTCTAGCAAGACAGCTCCCTCACTATAACCCACCCGCCATGCTCGAATGATCAATAATTTAAACAGGTCCACAGCTGAGGTGAGGTCGGGCAGAGAGCTGGCGTGAGCGGTTAAAAGGGGTGACGCGCATAACTGGGTTTTCTCTCGGCAGTGCATGCAGCAGAGCGAAATATAAGAAGGATATATTATCGATGTTTTCTGTGGCGGAGCTACAGTTCACGCTCACCAGCATCTGTTTTGATTTGACATGAGCAAATTTGTCAAGTTTACACTTTCATTTAATGAATTGATTTATATAATATATCAAGTGAATTACCTACCAAGTGGACAAATTAAGGTTGTTTTGCTGCGGTATGGAAAAATATCTTAACTGGTTGATCTGACCACGTATGGACAGTGGGGAAGGCAACTTGACAAGTAGATCGCACTGGTGATTGCGTAGGGTCAACATTGAACCCTAAGACACATACGTACGAGAAGGGGAAGCTTGATGTAGATGTCAGCCTGAAACTGAGTGACAACTCGAAAGTCATTAGAAAAACAGATAAACACAAACATACCTTTGCTGAGGGTGGAGCAGTATTTCTTTGCTATGCCTTGTACTACAACATTTATACCAGAATATGATATCTTAGGTCCTGCTCATGTGGGGTCTCGTCACTGTAAACGACAATAGCTAACAATAGCCAGCCAGTTATTTAAATAAAGTCCATGTTTTGGAAATCAATTTATCGAAAAATTTGAGGGTTTTCCACTCGCAAATTAGCGAGTAGAACTAGCATGCAAGAGGGGAGCACTGCTCGGTGTGTTTACAGCAACAAAGCACTGAATAGTGTTGTAATTGTTCTATTGTCAGAATAAAATACATAATGAATCTAAAATTACTTTCTGTAATGAACACTAACAGTTCAACTGGCTCATCAATCGTTTTTTGCACTATTTTTCTGGTTTCGACATTCACTTTATAGGGTGTACTCCTATCAAAGTGTTAAACACAACATAGTTGAGCTCGATTTCGAATATAGTCAAGTGAAGAATTTAAGAGTTTGATCTCACTGCTCCAATGTGCTGCAAATGGTGTATGTCACTTTTTTTAGCAGATTTTTTAGGTTATTGAAAGTAGGCTAAAACGGATCACCTCAAAAACATGGTTCTAAGTGTTGAGGCTGCTCCCTTCTCGTTGGTGTCTATAGCTATGATATACAACAGTACATGTTTAATAACAGTAGCAGTAAAAGCGAGAAACGGACTAGTAATCACTTGAGTGGTTTTAAATATGTGTTTATGTGACAATAGCTATCTTTACACGGATCCTTATAATAG